CAACATATGTACAAAAGCTCTTGACATCCCCTAATAAAACTATTTTTAAAAAAATGCTTGACACGATGGATGGATGAATTGTGATAAGAGCTGTAAGAGCCCCCAATAAAATGATTTTTAAATTTTTTTTAAAGGAGTTGAAAGATGATGGAATTTTTCCACAAACTTTTTGAGGCCCGCTTGTATTCAGCACTAGAAAACGGATAGACTTCACATGCAGGCATTTCTGAATTTACAGTCTTGATAAAACTCACCCAAGAATACCCTCGCTTGTGTTTTCTGTCATGAAGCATTCAATTGAAAGTGCTGTTATCTACGCTTAGCAGAGTGTCACACTTTATACAAAATTCCCTCTTCGTTGAATTGGTTACTAAACTTACTGTTGATTGTTTATACATAGCAACCACAGGAGACAGTAGGACCACCCCACTGGGTTCTTTTTAAGTTGTATTCTTTACGGGGGGAACCCAGTGGCATAGTGGTTAATCCAGGCGTCCTCAAACTGCGGCCTGCCGAGGACATTTATCCGGCCCGCTGGGTGTTTTTGCCCCATTTGTTTTTTTACTTCAAAATAAGATATGTGCAGGGTGCATAGGAATTTGTTCATAGTTTTTTTAAACTATACTCCGGCCCTCCAACGGGTCTGAGGGACAGTGAACTGGCCCCCTGTTTAAAAAGTTTGAGAACCCCTGGTTAAACACTTGGCCACCAATCAAGGTCAGCAGTTTGAATCCAACAGCAGCTCTGTGGGAGAAAGACATGGCAATCCGTTTCCTTACAGCTTACAACTATGGAAACCGTTTGGGATGCTCTACACTGTCCTATAGGGTCATGGTGAGCTAGCATTGACTTGACAGAAAGGGGAATCTGTATGGGAGCAGGTCCCCAAGGATGGCTCAGGAAGTTAGGTAAAACAAACTAACAGGCACCTTCCTTGTCTGGGAGCAGCATCCAGAACCATCAGCTCCTTTTCCCGTCCTTTCTCTCCTCCATGGAAGCCCTAAAAGATCGTCAGCTTGGTCTCGTGACACCCGTTGACCAGAGGAATTCAAGAGGACAGTACATCCGAAACCCCCCAGAGAAAATCGTCAGGTGGCTGTTAGCAGAGGCGTGAACCTACAAGTTATATCTACCACATAGTCTCTCGGGCATTACCTTAAAAGCTGTTCCTTCAGGGAAGCTCAGCCAATCTATGTGTTACCTTATCTCACAGCACACTGTTTCCTCACATCTCTGGATGGTCTTTTAGAATGACGTAGATGCCAGCTTGTCTGTTTGGTTACTCCATGTTTTTCTCGTACTAGGTTGCAAGGCTCTGGGCGGGCAGGGCTGTGCATGTTGGCCCTGCTGTCTCCTCCTCATGGGCTCTGATGGGATAGTGGTGATGCGATGGGCTGCTGATTGCAAAGGCAGCAGTTCGAACCCACCAGCTGCTCCTGGGGAAAGAGGAGGCTTTCTACTCCAGTAAAAAATTACAGTCTTGCTTTCTGATCCGCCATCTGCGGTGGAGTCGCCGCCAGGATGCAGATCTTTGTGAAGACCATTCCTCCAGAGGTGGGACCCTCGGATACAATGGACAATGGGAAGGCCAAGATCCAGGAAGAGGAGGGAATCCCTCCTGATCAGCCTCTGCTGATCTTTGCGGAGAAGCAGCTGGAAGAGGGATGTGCCGTGTCTGACTACAACATTCAAAAGGAGTCCACTCTGCATCTTGTGCTGAAACTTCGTGGTGGTGCTAAGGAAAGGAAGAAGTCTTACACCGCTTCCAAGAAGAAGCATAAGAGAAAGAAGGTTAAGCTGATCTTCTGAAAACACTATAAGGTATATGAAAATGGCAAAACCAGCCGCCTTCGGCACGAGTACCCTTTAGACAAGTGTGGACGAGTGTGGTGCTGGCTTGCCACGACCAGCCACCTTGACAGACATGACTGCGGCAGGTGCCACCTGACCTACTCCTTCAACAAACCAGAAGACGAGTAACTGTGTACTGATGAATAAAGGACATGGACATTAAAAAAAAAGAAAAAAGAGATTACAGTCTTACAAACTCATGGGGGCAGTTCTATGCGGACTGTCGCTCCCACTTGGAATCGATTGGAATCAATGGCAGTGAGTTTGGATTTTGATTTTCATATCTTCATTGCCTCGCGCAGGGCCTGGTGAGTAGGCAGCTCTCTGTGACTCTTTGTTGAATAAATGGGCAAGCGAATGAACAGTGAATGAATGAGCAAAGTCAGCCTTGTGATTCTACTGACTGAGCCCATTTGTCATTAACGCGGTCAGGAGGGGTGAGAAAAGACAAAGAGAAAATGGTGAGCACTGGCTATAGATGATAAGCAATGCTGGTTCCCTGTGTGGTGCTGTGATTTTAAAAAGGACAAGGATAAATAAAGAGGCACTACCTAGTGCGTTAGAGATG